TCCCATCCACTGAGGAGTCAGCGCTGAAGCTGGAACCGGAGCTGGAGGAAATGGACAACTGGCCTGGACAATGGGCCCACTGCTGGAGGACTCCCCTGCATTTGGGCTGGCTTCCTAACTGTTTAATGATTGCAGCCCTCGCCCTATATTAAGGGTGGGCTATTGACTGTTTAATGGAGGCAGTCTGCCTTGCATCTGGGCTCACTTGTTAACTGGCTGATGACTGCAGCCTTTGCTCTGCATGAGGGCTGGGGGTTCTAGACTGCTAAGGGAATAGCTCCCTGTTGAACCAGCCTGGGACATAGAGTAGTAGGTTGGTGTGGCCACCCCCTGGCCCTGAGGGGGACACCTCTCATCCCCAGGGTGCTTCCCAGCAGGCTACATTTGGTGGAGAATATGGGCTCTCAAGTCCCCAACCCCTGACGAAAGGGGCCTTGTGATTGCCCTGTGGGGGGAAAAAAAAACAAAGAAAAGTGAGAGAGAAGCCATGGATCGGGAAAAAAAATTTCAGTGTCTAGCTGAGAACCAGCAAAAACAACATGAACAATGAGTCTGTCAGATGAGTCTCCAGCACAAGCAGCAACAGGAGCTGGTGCAGCAGATGGGCGTTCAGCAGCAGTAGTTGCTGCAGCAAATAGCCACTCAATACTGGGAACTGCAAATGCAAGGATTTCAGCAGTTTGCATCCCTCTGGTCCCGGCCTGGCGGGCAAACTTCAGGAGCTGCTGGGGGTCCCATTTCGCCTCTCCGAAATGGACACTGGTGATGACCCTGAGGTGTTTCTAGAAACTTCCGAGTGTGTGGCGACAGTGACAGGCTGGCCCAGAGAACTTTTAGCCCCTTACCTATCCAGACTGGCTCAGACGGCATACCGGGGGCTCCCCATCAAGGAAGCTAAAGATTATGGGCAAGTAAAAGCTGCAATTCTAGATGCTCTGGACATTACTCCAGAAACCTTTCGGCGCCAGTTTCGAAATCTGAGTTTCCCACCCAGGGCTCAGCCCCGAGCAGTGGCGCATGAAATTAGGAGTCTATGCGGCAATCACTCTCATGCTCAGGCCCCACTTGTAATGTCTAGAACAGTGACTTCGGGTCCTCCACCGAGGGCCACCACGAGTAGCCTGTCGAGCTCAGGACAACCACCAAGTCCCACCAAGAAGTCATGCCCTTCACCACAGGTTTCGGGCCCAAAAGCTCCATCCCCAGGGGCTTATTGTCCCCCATGCAATCGTGAGTGGGGGAGAACTGACAATCCCAAGCTGGAAGGCGTGGGAGGACCACAGACCTGGACATTGGAGGCCAGCCCAACTTGAACTGGGGAATTGTCCCATGTGGCCACATGAGAAACATCTGCAGAGAGATTGTCCCTATATGGACTGCAGTTTTGGCCAGGCGTATTACAAGCTCACTGCCCGGGATCACCCAAGCTGACAGCCCCAGTGAGGCTGGGACCTCATTATTCCTCCGGTGGAGACTGAGAGGGAACTGTGCCTCCAGTGTCTCCACAGAAATGTAAAAGTGTACCAATGTACCCCTTACCATAAATGGGATGACTGAGGAAATGGTGGTGGGGTGGCCACCACTTTGGCATTCCCAATTATTCTGGGGTAGGACTGGACTGGGTTTACAGACCTTCTCCGGGGGGTTTGTTTTGGGACACCGCTGGCCGAAGTGACATGTGAAGTGGATCTGGTTAGTGTTGGCCCCCCGAGGACACTCCATGGGGAACCCACAAAGGACCAGAGAGGAGAGTGGGGAGGAAGGAGCAATTCCGAGAAGCCAACTCACACCCGGGAACCCACTGAACTGAAGCTACGAAACCCCCACCTGGTGGACTTTCCTTGAGATCAGCGAGAGGACCCAACCCAGAAATTTGCCTTCGACCAGGTGGCCTGTGTTGATGGGGTGATGACGGACCCCCAGCAGGCAGAACAGTGGCCCCACTTTGAGTTGAGGGCTGATCACCTATATTGTGTGGAATGGGACCCCCAGATTCAAGAGATGTAGTCACAGTTGGTGGCACCGCGCTGCCATCGAAGGGCGGTGCTCCGGTTGGCACACAACATGCTTGCCGCTGGCCACCTGGGCCAAGAAAAAACTCTAGCACGAGTCCTGTCTGGCTTTTTTTGGCTGGGAGTGTAACCAGAGGTCAAGGACTACTGCCACTCGTGCCCTGAGTGTCATCTGGCTGTCGTCTCCAGAGTCCCAAAGGCCCCGCTGGTACCCATGCCTGTCATTGGGACCCCCTTTGAACGGGTGGCCCTCGATCTGGTCGGACCACTCCTAAGGAGCAAAGCAGGGGTCTGGTATATTTGAGTTCTAGTGGACTACGCCACCCTCTTTCCCAAGGCATTTCCTTTATGGATCACCAGTGCCCGTACTATTGCCTCCAAGTTAGTGAAGGTCTTTGCGAGGGTAGGCCTTCCCCGGGAATTACTCACAGACCAAATATCCCACGCCCACGACCAAGCAAAAGGTATGCTAATTCCTGGGGCTGTTAGGGTATTATCGCCACTTTCCTCCACATTTTGCAACCACTGCACCGCCCTTTTAACTAAGGGCAGCCCACAATGAGTATGCTGGTCCACAGAGTGTGAGACAGCATTCCAAACCCTTAAAGATTGCCTGTGTCGAGAGCTGGTGCTGTTTACCCTGGATTTTGACCATCCATTTATAGTTCAAGCCAATGCCTCAGGCAGTGTCTAGGGGGCTGTCCTCTCCCAAAACATAGATGGGGAGGAACACCGGTTGTATACATTAGCAGGAAACGTTTCTCTAGGGAGTGGCATTATGCGGTCATCGAAAAGGAGGCCATGGCTCTCAAATGGGTCATTGACGCTTTGAGATATTACCTCCTGGGCAATACGTTTGTAGTTATAACAGATCATGAACCACTTCAATGATTGCACAAGACGAAGGACACAAACACCAGAATAATGAGGTGGTACCTTACCCTACAACCATATTCATTTACGATCCAACACTGCCTGGGGAAGGAAAATGCTAATGCAGACGGTTTGTCTCATGCAGGTGAGTGTCAAAAATCCAGTTCCAAGCAATGGGAGCTAGAGTTAAGGGGGTGGGGATGTAGTGGGTTGGTGTGGCCACCCACTGAGCTCAAAGGGGAAATGGCCCTTCCTGAGCCGTGGTGGGCAGCACCTGACATAAATGAGGCACCTGGGAAGGAGACAGGGGGCAGGCCCAGGGCTGCCTGAAGACCCAAGGAAGCCAGGGAGCCAGAAGCCTCTCCAACTCCACCCACTGAGGAGCCAGCACTGAAGCTGGAACCAGAGCCGGAGGAAGTGGACAACTGGCCTGGGCCACCGGGCCCTCTGCTGGAGGACTCCCAAGCGGGACTGCTTATGTGGCCGGAGGATCCCAACCCGTGCGGCCTGGAGGACCTGCCACGGAACCAGGTACAGGGTGTGGAGGGGAGAACTGGAGCCAGCCCAGGGATAGCCGACCTTGGTGTGGACCCCTGCTGACTCCGGCATAACAGGTCAGTGGGTTTTGGAACTGGATCTCTGCTGACCTAGCAGCTGAATACCAGACGCTATTAGGCCCTGGGCTGGGGAGTGTGGCGTAGGGAGGGCCCGCGTCTCCCCTGCCACCTCTTGATTGGGTGGCAGCCTCCCCTCCTGCGCTTGGCAGCCACAGGCAAGGTGCCTGAACCCCTCCTGAGCAAGGAGACAGACCACTTACCTGTGCTTACTGGCTGTGAACTGGTTGGCTTGCCCTGGGTGAAGCCCTTGCCCTGCCCTAGGGCTGGGCTTCCAACTGTTTAATGAGTGCAGCCCTCGCCCTGTGTTAAGGGTGGGCTATTGACTGTTTAATGGAGGCAGCCTGCCTTGTGTCTGGGCTCCTTTGTTAACTGGCTGACGACTGCAGCCTTTGCCCTGTAGAAGGACTGGAGGTTCTAGACTGCTAGGAGAATAGCTCCCGTTGAACCAGCCTGGGACATAGAGTAATGGGTGGTGTGGGCACCCACTGACCCTGAGGAGGACACCCCTCATCCCCAGAGTGCTTCTCACAGGGCTATAGGGCCTAATTGATTCTGTGTACTGCTAAGACTGCTGTTTATTTTTATCAGAATGACATATGGGACTAAGTCAAATACCTTGAAGAATTGTAGGTATATTTTGTCAGTTACTTTTATCAACCAAACATGCAATCTCATAAAAAAAATCTATCAAATTCACTTAACAAGACCTAGTACCCATAAAATCATGTTCATTGATATTAATTTGGCTACCATCCATTAATTCTTTACTGAGTTCTAGATCAGCCTTTCTATGATTTTGCCTGTGATAATTTTCAGATTAGCTGACCTGCACTTGTCCAGGTCATCCATCCTTTTCAAATACTGGCACAGCATTAGCTTTTCTCCAGTCTTCTGGAACTTTCTCAGTATTCCAAGATTTGTTGAAAACCAACAGTTTTTAACTCCTAACTATCAGAAGGGTAGCCGTGTTAGTCTGAATCTGCAAAAGCGGCGAGGAGTCCTGTGGCACCTTATAGACTAATTGAAGTGTAGGAGCATAAGCTTTTGTGGGCAAAGACCCACTTCGTCAGATGCAGAACTCCTAACTGTAAATCATCCAGTGGTCTAATCCAAAATTGGAATTCCAATGGCCTGATGAATAGAAAAAGATTGTCAGAAGACTATAATTTTACTCATTACTTGTTTTAGATGTTTAAAACACCTTCTTAAAGTTGTACAAACCCAAGGCCATTTTAGTTAATAGTTGTAACAAATTACTTAATTGGATGAAACACTGTACGATATCATATTTTTAATATAGTGTCAGAATCATGCATTTTTGTGATAGACAAATAGAAACAGAAAGATTCCTAATGTTATAAAAGGCAGATTCTACATTATATGCAAAGGTTTTAGTCAGCCAGAAATGTGAGGTATTCCAGAAAGACTAATGAATATATCCTATTAGTAGGACTAACTTTGCACAGCATAGATTTATAAATGATTTTTCCTCCTTTAGAATGAACGTGAGCAGATCATGACCACAAATGTCTGGCTAAACCAGGTAACCATCCCATGGGTATGCTATTGCAATTTACCAATACATTGTTTTCTTGTTAGATTTAATTGACACAAAATAACTTAATCACCACTGTATAATTTTTCTCTAGGAATGGACTGACTATCGTTTGGCTTGGCAGCCCTCTGACTATCAAGGCATAAATAAGCTAAGGATCCCTTCTAAACACATCTGGCTGCCAGACATTGTGCTTTACAATAAGTAAGTCTTGATACAAAACATCATGCAAAGATTTTAAACAGAAACCAAAATCCTATTAAATGACAAGAAAAAAAATCCCCAAATCTTTTCCATGCAGAGAAAATAAGCTTAAAACTTTGAATATTTTCAGTTAATGATATTGCACACTACACAATAAAAAAAAACCCCTCTCTCTAAGGAGAGGTGGTAGATCTCTGTTCAGATCTCGTATTAGGAAGAGGGGGTATGAGAACCAGTTGCTGCCCACATTCCAACTGATTACCATCACCCAGAGGTGGGTAATAATTTTTGCAGGGGGTCACTTAATGAATTTTGGTACGTGATCACAGGCAAGCTCCATCTCTGGAAGGGGCAGGGCTGGAGACTAGTCTCCTCCCAGAGTTGTCTGGAGTCGGAGGCTTTGAATTAAAAATACCATAAAGGGCTTGCGGCTCCTGACCCTGCTGCTACCAAGTTGCCTGGCAGCACCTACGGGGATAGCACTACAACCGTGATCCATGAGCCATTTAAATAGGATCCTGCTGCCTGAACCACTGCCTGGAAATTCAGTGGCACAGGCAGCAGGATATAAATAGAAAGCAGCCAGATGCAATCTGCAGGCTGGATCTGGCCCCTGGGCTGCATCTTGCCCATCCCTGCCATAATCACGGGGCTAAAAGTTAAGGATAGCCCTCTTCTTCCCTCCTCTCAGCTGTTTCATGTGGAATTAGATTGTCTCTGAACCTACATACTGGATTGTTCCAGCACTTGATTTAGGTAGCAAATCATGTCTACCCCTCAGTTCATGCATCACTAGCACAGATAGGTTCTTAAATCTGGACTGCAGGAAACTGCCTATCTCTGAAGGCAAGGCATGCTTGCCTTTGGTGGCTGTTAATTACCTGCTTGTAAAGGCTTTGATGGTCTCTATTTACTTTTATTCTCTGGAGTTGCCAGACTGGGATCTTTAAACTGTAAGGCTGCGTCTAGACGGGCATGATTTTCCGCAAATGCTTTTAACGGAAAAGTTTTTCCATTAAAAATAACAGAAAATGTTATGCCTGTTTCTAAATATTATGACATAATTTATACTTCAGTAAGTAGTTGAAACTCAATTGAAGTCAATGGAACTATATATATCTATGATTAATTTGATCTGTTGTTTTTGCTAAAGACATATTGCTTCTAAGTTATATATTTTCCCTTTACTTTTCAAATGAAAAGGAAAAATATATATAAAGTACTGCAATTCAGACAATTTTTCTTACTATATTTACTGTCATCTCATTTTAAAAACTAATTAATCTGGTTTTATTAAAAATGACTAACCTACTTAAGAGTTAATTCATGTATTTGTTAATTTATAGAGAAATAAGATAATGAATAGTTAGTCTTTCCTAGTCTCATGGCGTCTTTCAATAAGTTTATCAATAATTACGTATTTTGGAAAAGTGCTACCTGAATGTATGACATATTTAAACAAAATAAACTAAGGATAATTTTAAAAGCCATCTCCTGTAAACCTATTGAATTAGGTGCCACTTAGCTTATGATATTTGTTAGGGCAGCAATGCGAAGTGGCATAACAAGCTGTTAGTTCAAGGATCCTGCAAAGAGCATTCAGATATATCACAAAGCAGTGTTCACTATTAGAAATTGGACCTCCATGGTCCGGCACCTTTGGGACCTGACCCGTCTCAAATGAGGGGATTTGTCAGATCAGGAGAGGTTCCTCTCCTTGTGGCCCATGCTGCTCTGCTGCCCCTCGGTATGGCTCCAGCCTGGACCTCCTTCTGGCCAGACCCCTGTGGTTCTCCAGCCAGGGCCGGCCTGAGCCCTTTTGGTGCCCTGGGCCCGGACACGTGTGCAGGGCACAGGGCACATGTGCGGGCCCACCCATGGGGCGCGGGCCCGCCTCCTGGGGCGCTCGACGCATGCGCGCGCTGGCCACAGCTGCTGGCACACAGCCCGGGGCCCACCTCCGGGGCACATGGCACATGCGCTGCCCAGCCTCGCTTGGCCAGTGCTGCTGGCATGCGCGCTGGGCCATGCAGGGCCCCACAGCCGTAGGGGGAAGGGCGCTGCTGGCCGGCGCCGTGGGGTCGGCACTGCAGGAGCTGGGCGCGTGGCTCCTGATGGCAGCTGTAAGGGACGCCGCGCGCCCCTTACAGCTGCTATCAGGCGCCCCTCATCGGTTGGCACCCTGGGCAGCTGCCCGGCTCGCCCATGTCTCCATCTGGTCCTGCCACCAGCCCTGCTGCTGCCAGAGCCTGAGCCCCACAGATGGAACTCCGCAGCTGGGGACAGAGCCAGAGCTGGAGCTCTGTGGCCAGGATTGAGGCCAGAGCTCCTTGGCTACTGCTGGGGTTGAAGCTCCCTGGACATATCTGGAGTTCCACGGCCACTGCCAGGCTGGAGCCAGAACTCCCTACTGTGCCACCCTCTCCCCATCCACAGGTCTCCCGGCTAAGTTACCGGTGCCCCTACCTTGCTCCTGCCCTGCCACCAGACCTTCCTGTTTCTGGGCTCTGTGGTCCACTATAGGTATGTAAGCAACTAGTCGAGTACCTGATAAGCATATGCTTATGGTTAGTAGAGTAGTCACTCAACTACTTCTTCCCTGCCCCTCCCCGCCCTCCTGGCTGCCTCTATCAGAGGGTGTGTCTAAACTACACCCTTCTGCCGACAGAGGGATGTAGATTAGGCACATCACTATTGCAAATGAAGCGGGGATTTAAATATCCTGCGCTTCATTTGAATAGAAATGGCCGCCGCTTTTTACCAATGCAGCACTTTGCTGGCAAAAAGCGGCAGTCTAGACGGGGATCAGCTGACAAGGAAAGCCTTTTCCATCCAATTCTGTAAACCTTGTTGCACGGGGCATAAGGGATCGGTCAGAAAAGGCTTTCCTTGTCGATCAATCCCTGTCTAAACTGCTGCTTTTTGTTGGCAAAGTGCTGCGTCGGCAAAAAGCGGTAGCCATTTCTATTCAAATGAAGCGCAGGATATTTAAATCCCCGCTTCATTTGCAATAGCGATGTGCCTAATCTACATCCCTCTGTCGGCAGAGGGAAAAATTTTTCCTTTAAAAGCATTTGCGGTAAAGAGCATCTAGATTGGTACGGACGCTTTTCCGCAAAAGCACTTTTTGTGGAAAAGTGTCCATGCCAATTTAGACGCGGTTTTGCGCAAGAAAGCCCCGATCACCATTTGCGCAAGAGGGCTTTTGCCCTCATGTCACAAGAACACTGACAATCTTACATGAGATTGTCAGTGTTCTTGCGTAAATTCAAGCGGCCAGCATAGACACAGCCCTGTAGTCCCAACTGATTATAGCAGCATTTTTCATATTCTGTTCTCAAATGGTTAGAAGTGTTACCATGTGCTATTAATGGCAGTGTTCCAAAACAAAGGTGCATTTTTGTAATGCATGATCTCATTTTTACATCCCTTTTCACACTCCATAGGGTGTGATAATCTTGTTTATAAAATACTTTATGTCTAGAGCTTGTTAAAAATACCTGAAGAAGGGTTTTATCACTGCAAAGGCATTGGAATTGAAGTCTAGCATAGATAGTGAAGCTAAGGATGCACTAGTTTGTTGTTTTTTGTATTTTGAACCTATATTCTGTCTCTTGATAGTTTCATTTTTTTCCTCGTTTCCTCAGTGCGGATGGTACATATGAAGTTTCCCTGTATACAAATGTGATTGTAAAGAATAATGGAAGCATTTTCTGGTTGCCTCCGGCCATCTACAAGAGTGCTTGCAAGATTGAGGTGAAGCACTTCCCATTTGATCAACAAAACTGCACACTGAAGTTCCGCTCATGGACATATGATCACACAGAAATTGATATGGTACTTAAAACTTCCATGGCAAGCATGGATGATTTTACACCAAGTGGAGAATGGGATATTGTAGCACTTCCAGGAAGAAGGACTGTAAACCCCTTAGACCCAAAGTATGTTGATGTGACATATGACTTTATTATTAAAAGGAAACCTCTTTTCTATACCATCAATCTTATAATTCCCTGTGTGCTTATTACATCATTGGCTATCCTGGTGTTCTACTTGCCTTCAGACTGTGGGGAAAAGATGACCTTATGCATATCTGTACTGCTTGCCTTGACTGTGTTCTTATTGCTGATCTCTAAAATTGTCCCTCCAACATCACTGGACGTTCCACTGATTGGGAAGTATCTGATGTTTACAATGGTATTAGTAACATTCTCAATAGTTACCAGTGTCTGCGTATTGAATGTCCATCACAGATCTCCCAGCACCCACACTATGCCCCCATGGGTAAAGGTGGTTTTTCTTGAGAAACTTCCAACTATTCTGTTCATGAAACGCCCAGAGACTACCTCTGCAAGGCAAAGATTAAGCAACCGCAGAAAGACTAAATCTGAAAATCTATGCACTAATCCAGCTGACCTGTACAAAAACTCTACCTACTTTGTGAACACAGCTTCTGCCAAAAAATATAACCTGAAAGTTACTGAGAATTCAGATAACATCAGTGGCCATCAAGATTTTAAGTTAAGATCTTCAATGAGGTTTTCTCCAGAAGTCCAAGAAGCCATTGAAGGAGTCAGTTTTATAGCAGACCACATGAAAAGTGATGACAATGATCAGAGTGTAAGTAACAGAAGAAATCATTCCCATCTTTCCAAATCCCAGATTCCTTTCCCTTCATGTCTCAAATAAGTGTATCCTTCCTCAGAATGGAAATCAGAACCCAACCATCTTCCTTAGTATTAATTTTTATAGAGATTCTTTCTGTAATTTCATAGGCAATTTTATAAGTAGCAAGTTTTTTTTCCTATGAATGACCATTTGATAAAGCTGACAAGAATCTCAGCCCTTACAATACCACACGTATTGCTTTGGGGCACAGGTAGATATAAAGATGAATTAACTTTAAACAAATTGTGTTTTCACATCAGCAAAGTAATGGGATGTAGAGACCCCAGCTAGTGTGTGGCAGAGAGAGGGTTAAATATTCAATACCTGGTTTGAGAAAACACCATATAGTTGGGCCCATAATAAAGGGACAGTGGGTTAGTCAGCCATGAGCATGGCTGAATTCTGCTAGAGTGCTCATAGACTCTTTCTGCTGGGCTACAGAAAGTAATTTAACTAAATGGGTTTAGAAATGGATTTAGTTAGATTGGTACACACACTAGAAATGCTATTATTTTGGATTCAAAGTGCTCCCTATCAATGGTGGTCACTATGCAGTGCTCTCAAGGTTATTCAGAACTTTCTGGCAAGAGCGTTCATAGAACCATAATATTTATACTACAAAAGCTGAGGCATGTATGAGCAAAATGAGATTTTCCATCAACTAAAAATCTGAGTTCCACTGTCATCCTGGAGAGGTACATAGATCCATATTTCACTAGCTAGTACATTAAAGTTCATAGCCATTGAATAATACTCAGCAAAACTCAGAATGCGCAGGTAAATACTTGTCAATGTCCCCAACACTACCCCTCATTCCCCCATTGCCATGAAAATTTCCTGTGTGACCCTTCTCTGCCCCAACACCCAGTCTAGTGCTAGGTTCTCCATTACTGCTCTATTCTCCCCCTCTCCTTTTAATATACAGATTAAGTAGTCTGCAAGTCTGGTTCCTTGTTTACTTAGGTCTTGCAGGAATTCCTTATGAAGGACTTACCTGAATTTTCAAGGAACCAATTGCTGGTCAACAGATAAAAGGAGGAACAGATGTTAAATCTGTAATAATAGGCATAAGCTTAAACAAACTAAAATGAATTTAATAAGAGCACAAGCCTAACAGTGGTGAAAATGTGCTTATTACAGCACAGATAGTCTTGAAAGAACTTGTACTGGATATAAAAAGATTTTAAAAAATTCCTTCCCTCACCCTAGACTAAAGAGCAATTATCCAAAATATTGTACATAAGACATTAATTTAATGCTTTCCACACACAGGTTCTCTGATGTTAACTAAATTGCTTAGTTACCAACCATGACTTTCTAGGGTTGCCAGATGGTTTCTGAAAAAAGGACCCCAAGAGTTGTTGGGGAAAAAAAAAATTAAATTAAAAAAACCCACAGTGTCCCCCCTTTAAGAAACGCTTTAGAGGCTTTTTGGCCTTAACAGGCTACCCGCAGCTGCCCGTCATCTTGCCTTCCTGCGCTGGACCAGGAAGCCTTCCTGCGGAACCCAGTAAGCACCCGGGATTTTCACCTCCTGGCCAAGAAAAAAATCAGAAAATACCAGACATTTTAGGTGTCTGATATTTTCTGAATTTTTTTACTGGACAGGAGGCGAAAATACCAGACAGTCCAGTTCAATGCCGGACTCCTGGCAACCCTATGGTTTTCCAGATTAATAATTCTAATCTCTGCCTTTTCATTAGTATCACAGTCTGATAACAGCTTTTAAGTCCAGCATATTCTTTTCTCTGAAGAATATAACATCTATTAACAGGAATGGAAGTTACATGGGTGCATTGAGGGGGAAAATAATAGTTTAGTACAAGTCAAGAGATAACTGGGATGTACTGTAAAATCATTAAGAGGAAGAGTTCCCATGTGTAACTAGAGTCAGGAAAAGAAAAAAAAACAGTGGTTAAAAAAAGATTGACAATTCTCTTTTTTTACAACTATCCCTGCAGTCATAGGGGTAAAATCCTGGCCCCATTAAAATCAATGCACAACTGCCATTATAACTTAGAATCACAGGATTGGAAGAGACCTCAGGAGGTCATTACGTTCACACCCCTTCCTCCACCACGCCCCCAAAAGCAGGACCAAACCCAACTAAATCATCCCAGCCAGGGCTTTGTCAAGTTGGGACTTAAAAACCTCAAGGGATGGAGATTCCACGACTTCCCTAAGTAACCCATTCCAGTGCTTCACCACCCTCCTAGTGAAATAGTTTTTTCTAATATCCAACCCCATTGCAACTTGAGTCCATTGCTCAACTTCAATTGGACCAGGATCTTATGCACACTGGACAGGGATTTGAATACAACCAGCAGTGCTAACATATTAAAACCCTTGCATGCTGAGAATCAAGATCAACTACAGAATTATTTGTAAAAAAGCAGAAAGTATTGTTCATCCCTATTAATTTGGATGAATAGTATTAGCAAATTAAAATTGGCACCCAGGAAATTCACTGGATTATGTTGAAGGTCTATCCATTCTAGCACCAAGCACTGAGAAAACCATTTATAGTGCTCTTTACCAATTGCCCGGGACTGTATATGAAAGAAAATTCCTTCTTGACCCATGTGGTGATCAGTAACCTGAACCTTAATATTTGTTTCCTCTTATTTTCATACATAAACTAGGAACACTGAACAGCAACAAAAGAGATTGAGATGATAAATTGCTATGTATCTTCATCTGGCTTTTTCCTCCAGGTCATTGAAGATTGGAAGTATGTTGCCATGGTAGTGGACAGACTGTTTCTTTGGATATTCATCTTTGTTTGTGTCCTTGGGACTGTTGGATTATTTCTCCAGCCACTTTTTCAAAACCACTCTGCTGCTGCAAGCCCTTAACACTCAACTGTAAAATGCTTACCCAGCTGCTGCTGCCCCTTATTTTGCTCCAAGTTCCTCTGGTGTAAATCCAATGTAATACCATTGAGGTCAGCTGAGTTTGTCTGGATTTATATTGGTGAACTGAGTGCAGACTTTGACCTGTGGTGTTATCATGATGTTTGGAATTTTCCAGGAGACAATCTTTTATCTCTAAATTTAAATTACTTTGAAAAAAGAGCCAATATATCACCCAATTTGTTTAATAAAGGTTTTACAGAGATATTTATTTCTACAACTTTCCAGTTTTCCTCAGAGTACACCAGTATCATCATTAAAATGCTATTTACTTATGCCATCTTGGGGAAGACACTGTGCTTCCAGAAGATCCTGCAGTTCACATCGCACAATTTTGCTGTTTCAAAGAAGCAATTGCTACAGTATTTCCTTAAAATACATCAAAACTCTGTGCTTGGTTTATAGAAAACTTTATGAATGGAGTTATTAAATATTTTATCTGCTTTGAATAGGCTATTCTAGATAGAACAGAATAGTAAACAGTGCCATGATTCTGGGGTAACCATGAGAAAGTTTCTAACCTTGGCACTTTCACTAAAGGATCCCAAATAAATAAATGAATATTTACACACTGTATTCATTGGTGAAAAATAAAATAATGTGAAAAACTCTTCTTTAAATAGCCTTACTTCCAAAATATTCCTTTCTAGTTCAGAAAAGGAGAAATGGTATGCAGCACCGTGAATCCGAAGCTCATCAGGAGAGTGTTTAAGAAGCAGATAAATGGTGAATTAAGAGGTTGTACTGAAAGCTCAGTCTATGGATAAGAATGCAGTGCTAAAATAAGAAGTAATAGCAGAGCAGAATCAACCCTGACTGACCATTCTGTTTTACTGGACGAGAAGCTGGATATGAGTCAACAGTGTGCCCTTGTAGCCAAGAAGGCTAATGGCATATTAGGTTGCATTAAGAGGCGCATTGCCAGCAGATCCAGAGATGTCATTATTCCCCTTTATTTGGTTTTGGTGAGGCCACATCTGGAGTGTTGTGTCCAGTTCTGGGCCCCCCACTACAAAAAGGATGTGGACGCATTGGAGAGGGTCCAGCGGAGGGCAACCAAAATGATGAGGGGCTGGAGCATATGACCTATGAGGAGAGGCTGAGGGACTTGGGTCTGTTTAGTCTGCAGAAGAGAAGAGTGAGGGGGGATTTGATAGCAGCCTTCAACTTCCTGAAGGGAGGTTCCAAAGAGGATGGAGAGAGGCTGTTCTCAGTAGTGACAGATGGCAGGAAAAGGAGCAATGGGCTCAAGTTGTGGTGGGAGAAGTGCAGGGTGGGTATTAGGAAAAACTATTTCCCTAGGAGGGTGGTGCAGCACTGGAATGGGTTACCTAGGGAAGTAGTGGAGTCTCCATGCCTAGAGATGTTTAAGTCTCGGCTTGCCAAAGCCCTGGCCGGGTTGATTTAGTGGGGATGGGTCCTGCCTAGGGCAGGGGGCTGGATTTGATGACCTTCTGAGGTCTCTTCCAGTTCTATGATTCTATGCATGTGGCACAGCTTCCAATCAGTTTGTTGGGACCATGGTAGAAAGAGGAGCAAGAGCAATGAACAAGAGCTGAGTAGTGGTTTGTTGCAGGGTACCACTAATATCATGGTGTGGGGCAGGAGAAGAATCCCTTGTCCCTGACCTCATAATCTGAGGTTGGTAGGATTTACTTTCAAGTAGTATTTTTATAAAACACTTTGTTATGAAGAGCAAATACCATACAATTCTATGTTATTGCAGAGTTATTGCTGCAGATATCTGTGGTAAGATGAGCTTTTACTCTGGCTTGCACAACCCCTTCTACAATCTACATAGTCCTGCAGTTGTCATTAATCACAAGCTTATATCACATCATCATTTGTGAAAATAACCTTATTATTGATATAGCTAATTTAATCATGAACTCCAGCACCTGGGTCAGAAAGAAGCTTTTGCCTTAGAATGCAAATATCATTGGGAATTTGCAAGAACAAGCCAAATTAAGGCAAAATACTTAACTATTTGAATGGTTTGCAGATGCTATTAGACAAATACCCCTTAAACTTTGGAGAAATCTGTATTCAGATCTGAGCTATAAAGCTTTAAACACATCTCTATCTTCAATAATTTATTTATTCCTAGGGCAAAAGCTGCTCATTAATGAAAATGGAGAGTAAGGAGGGTGGGGAGAAACACTCAGTCAGAAAATCCTAGAAAGACTGAGCTCTTACTGAAAAAAAATAATCAAAGGAACATATAGCCCATTTCCTTCAGCCTAATAAAATTATATAAATTATCAGAAGAGTGTATGTCTGGGATGGACTGAATGATGCTCCAACACAGATATGTAGAATAAACTCCATGGTGAGAGCATAGAAAAAGGATTCTGTGACATTTGCCAGAACCAGTAAGATGGCAATTTAGGTATGTCTACACTGCAATAAAAGACCTGTAGCATATCTGAAGTTGGTCTGGTGAGATTTAGGCTCAAAAGGTTTGGCTGCAGGGACAAAAATTGCAATGTAATAGGAATGTGAAGGACTAGTCTGTTAGTTGACTGATAAGCAAATGCTTATTGGATAGTCAACATGTTAGGTATAAGAAAGAGGCAGCAAGGGGGGGAAGAGGAAGGGGTACTTCAAAGTGGCAGCATACTTGAAGCCTGGGGCCAGACACCAAGCTCCATGGGCGCTGCCATTTTGAAACGCTGCATGCAGACCAGGGCCAACTGAGATGTCCCCAGGCGGTGCCAATGAGCTGGCGGTGGGAGGCTAGCCCCAGCCTGGCTCCTTCCGCCTAAGTCCACTTCCACTACCCTAGGGGCTTGCGCATTTTACTGGCCACCCAGGTAAGAAGAGTCTACTGTCCCACAAATCTACGGTCCCTAACATGTGTTTTACTTATTTGGGAGCATAAGGCATCTCAGACACTGGTCTTGTATTTCTGGGTCATTTTAAGAATTATCTCCAATCAATATCCTGGAAATATCAAATACATGCCTGGTATAATACTAAGCCAAATTTTGTTCTCAGATATGTGCATAAATAGGAATAAAGCCACTGACTACTCAGAATTGCCAAACTCAAAAGATTGTAAAAAATCCTATCTTGAG